TGCAAATCCTTCTCCTAATGGTCGAGTTGCATTAGTTAAAAGAGGTGTCTGTTCTTTTGTTGATAGAGCAGTACTTGCATCAAAATATAATGTTGCTGCTCTTCTATTCTACAATGATGGTACATCACCTGATCGTATTTCACCCATTTTTATTAGCTTAGGACAGAATAATGAATTACCAGCACTCTTTCTTTCATATACTCTTGGTCAAGAACTTGCTGATGCTGCTCAAAATCCATTAAATAATGTTGGTGTACATATAACTATCCGTGTAGCTGATGAATCAAGATATCCTGTTGGTAATATTTGTGCTGATACACCAACAGGTGATGCTACTCAAACTATTGTTATTGGTGGTCATAGTGATAGTGTACCGGCTGGTCCAGGCATTAACGATAATAGTAAGTTAAAATATTGAAAATTCTGCTAATATTTTTGATATTTCAGGTAATGGTAGTGTAGCAAATCTTGGTTTAGCTGTAGCTCTTGCTCGTCTGTTTGAAACATCTACTTATAAGAAATACAAATACCGAGTGCGATTTTGTTGGTGGGGTGCTGAAGAAGTTGGTCTTCTTGGTTCTGATTTTCATATCAAACAAGCACAAAATTCTACGAGTGTTGGTGAACGCTTGAGTGATTATTTGATCAATCTTAATTATGATATGCTTGGTTCATCAAATTACATGTTTGGTATTTATGATGGACGAACAGCAAACAATAATACACCAGCTCATGCTCTTCCAGGTACTAATAAAGTAACAAACCTCTACCGTGAATGGTTCATCCGACAAAATTGACCATGGAATTATACCGATTTTAGTGGTCTAAGTGATCATAGTCCATTTTTAGCTGCAGGAATTGTTGCTGGCGGATTATTCTCTGGTGCAGCTGGTTTGAAATCGCTTGACGAACGTAATTATTATGATAAAATGCTTGGTCAAGGATTGGGTGGTATTGCTGATACTATTCATGATCCATGTTATCATCAAGCTTGTGATTCCATTCAAAATATAAATGTATTTGCATATGAAAAGATGGTGCAAGCGCAGCTGCTTATGTTTTAGAATATTTAGCTCGACAAGATGATTTGCAAAGATGGCTTTATCCAGCGGGTAGACCATTGGATTCAGAAAATCGACTATCACAACGAAAGTATAACTCTATAAATGAATACTTTGGATTACCATACTCGTAACTGCCTTTCAGTTTTTTTTTGTCTTGTGATCAAAATGTATTTTGTATCGAAAAGAAAACGAAAAAAATGATATTGTGCTAGCGAATTTTGTAACTACTGAATAAAAACAACAAAAAGTTAACATGACAAGGAGGTGTCGGCAAGACTAGAAAAAACATCCAAAGGGTTGCCTTCATGAGGCTTGGCACCCAGTTAGAAGTAATTTACTGAATTTTCGACTCAACTTAAAACACATATTGAAAAATAAAAAATAGTAGAATTTCGACGTGAGATTTTGTCCGTAGAATATTGAACTTCCAAAAGAAAATTCGTTTGTCATAGGCATGA